CTCCCTGAGAATCTGCTGGTAAGCACAGGCCCTTCCCTGACTCCCTGAATTAGAAACTCTGTGTTTAACAAGCTCTGCAGAAGATTCTGATGCCAGTCATGGTATGAGACCTCATGCTTTCAAGCTTCCCTTTGATAACCCTCCAACTTGAGCCCCACCATTGAATCCCACAATTCTCTTCCTTCCAAGTTCAGCAGCTCCACTCAAAAACTGCTCCAGAGCTCCCCATCAATTCCTTTTGTCTATGAACCACAAACATCTGTGACTCCTGGATCTCCTAATCTGTCTAAAAGTCTCTCTCATCAGTGGTAGGATTTGGGTGTGTGAGTGATGTGGAGTCAAAGCCCCTCCTTGGCTTAATAGGCTGGAAGCCCCTGCCCTATAAAAACTTATCTTTCATCCAGGCTGGAGGTCACAGGTTTATCTCTATGCTGGTCTCCTTTCTTTAAAGGCAGTTCCAGGCTTCTAAGCAGGGACAGAATAGGACACTCTGCAACCTCAGCTCACCAGAGACATAYGAAACAGAAAGACCTTGCAGAGTGAGGATGAATTTCATAGCAAGGTACAAGACCTACACTCCAAGAGGCCACCTGCCTGGGTACTCTGACCCTCCTTCCACTGCGTCTGTCCACATCAGTGCTGATAGGATTCGATTTCATGGCCAACCCAATCCCCTATCCAGCTAACCATGCTGAAAATGTGAGTCACATCACACAGGTGTAAAAAGTTCCTGKAGCTACTTAACCCTATCCCCAAATCCCAGGGCAGAGCCTTCCAAGTTCCTACTGGGCCCTGCCATCTCACCCACCCTTTCTTTGTCCCCATGTACAACTAAACCAGCCATCAGATGATGTATGGCTTCTGTACCAGGTATGCCCTTTGCTCCTGAATCCCACAAACACTGGTACTTCCTCCCCGCCCAACTCTGTGCATCTCCTGGGTCTTTGTGTCTTTTCCTTTGAAGTAGTACCTTGTGTCCTTGTCCTCTCCCTGACAAAGTCCTCCATCCATCCCTTGAAGGCTATCTTACTACATCTTCTGTCTCTATAAGAAAATATCTGAGATTGGGTAACCAGTAWAGAAAAGAAGTTTATTTGACTTATGTTTCTGGAGTTTATAAAATCCAAGAGCATGGCATGGCATCTGGTGAGGGCTTTCTTGCTGCATCATGACATGGTGGAGTGCATCACATGGAAAGACAGAACAAGCATGAGAGCTTGAATCTTTCTTCCTCTTCTTACATAGCCACCAATGCCATCATGGGAGCCCCACTCTCATGACCTCATCGAATCCTAACCATCTCCCAAAGACCTCACCTTCAAATATCATTAACATATGAATTTGGAGATTCAGTTTCCAACACGTGTATTCTGGAGGACAAACATTCTAACCACAACAAGGGCTCATCCATCACTCATCTGGAAGTGTTCTCTGCCCACCTCCCCAGCCCCTGCCGCAGGTTCAGGTACATAGGTGGCATGAGTCAGAGAATGCAGCCCTGCTCATAAGGAGCTGAGCAACACTGGCCAAGTGATCCTGCGAGCTTGTTTTCTCACCTGTACAGTGATCCTTCCCACGTGTTCCTTAATCATTCCCATGCCCAATAAATATCTATTGCACACCAACTAGAGTATTCGACGTTCTCAGACACAAGGAGGCTTTTTGTGCTCTGAGCATTTTGATGGAGAAGACAACTAACACCCAACAAAACCCATAAATATAACAAAATGGCAGTCAGTGAGGGGAGAAGGAAAAGAGGATAAAGTTTCAAGGGGCAACAGGGGCTCCTTCAGACGGGGGAGTCAGGGGCCTCTGAGAAGAGAGGAAAGGCAAGAAGGAACTGGCAGGGAGAGGTAGGAAGGAGTGCCCACTGGGAGGGAGCAGCCAGTGCAGTCTCTAGACCCGAGCCCCTCAGTCATTCCAGGGACAAACAGGCCAAGGAGGCTAAATGGTGGTGAGGAACCCCAAGGCAGTGACAGATCTGCCCCCGAGAGGGCAGCAAATTCAGGTGGTCAGAGCCACTATGCAGAGGGTGGTGATTCTGAGTGATGGGAACAGGTTGGTGGCATTTTTGGCTGTGGTGCAGATAGACTGAAGACACAGCCAGATGGACTGATGGCTATATGCCAGTGCCAACGGCGAAACAGCCCTGGCTGGACRGCAGGGCTAAACCCCGCGTGCCAGAGCAGTGAACAGAATTCCCTAAACCCCCACTCGAGCCTCGAATTCCACACCCATTCAACAGGAGATGTTGAGATCCTCAAAGGGGACATTTTGTGCATACAATTCAAAACTTTTTATTTAGCATTTAAAATTCTGTAAGTTGATATTCATTAAAGTTACAAATGTAAAAGTTCTAGTTCTTTCTTCAGCTTTTAAATTCAATTTACTAATGTACTTATTTTATAAAGAAGCATAGAAACCAGGAGGCATGGCACTTGCCTGTAATCCCAGCAATGGGAGGCTGAGGCAGGAGGATTACAAGTTTGAGGCCAGTCTCAGCAGTTTTGCAAAGCCCTAAACAACTTAGTGAGACCCTGTCTCAAAATTAAAACTAGGAGAGGGGCTCAGTGGGTAAGTGCTCCTGGGTCTAATGCCCAGTATCAAAAAAATAAACAAACAAAAACTCTACAAATTTGTACATTTAATTTTAATTTGCTTTTTAAAAAAGTCCTCCACTGATCTCAATAACAAGGAATAAGGCAAAGGAGGAGAAAAGAAAACCCTTAAGTATTAGTTATAAATCTAACACATTAAAATATTATAACAAGTTCTCTTAGTGTCCCAATATTTTATCAGACTTAGATTTCAAGTTAAAAAATCTCAAGTCTAAGTTAATTACTCAATTACAACTTTAAAATTTCAGTAAAAAGCTGGCCTWATGAGTCTAATGAGCTGGATTATCTTAAACACAACAAACACTGGCAAGACCCAATGCACATGTTTAATAAGGTTAAAATTGTGGGTTTGATTCTTGTTAACATTTGGATGAATGATTCTACGATTTGGTTATCCAAGACAGTGTCAGAGTTACCTTCCCGAGGCATGTCGGGTTACATTCTTGGCTGGCAGAGAGTTCAATGGAGTGGCCCTGCTTGGCACCCAGCCAGGGGGCTGAGACTGTGTTGAGGTTGCTCTGCCAATTCCTTCCACGTGGCAGGAGAGGGGGAGTCCTCCTCTTTATGTCCCTGACTCTGGTCACAAGTCACGTAATTAGCATCTCTCTTCAGGAAGCTACCCCACCCCCCCCCATGCTTTATTGGGTCCTGYTAGTCATTTATTGCTTCATTTGGTWCTGGATTTTCTTCTGGACTTTCCAGAGCCAACAGGTATTTAAGTGGCATCTCGATGACTCTTCCCTAACTGGTGATACCTGACGGAAACTGCTTGGTAGTGCTATTCCCCAAGTGCTATGGTTTGGACATAAAGTGTCTCCCAAAAGCTCCTGCATTGATGCAGGGATATTCAGAGGTGAAATAATTAGATGATGAGAGCTATAACCTAATCAGTCCTTCCAAGTTTGAATGCCCTGACTGGGTGGTAACTATGGGTGTGTGAGGGATGGTGACTTGGGGAGATGGGTCACTGGGGGCATGMCCTGGAAGATTCCCTCCACCAGGCACTTCTGCCATGATGTGCCTGCTGCCTCATCTTGGGCCCAGAGCAGTGGAGTCACCCGCTGTGGACTGAACCTCTGAAATCATAAGCCAAAATGAACTTTCCCTCCTCTAAGTTGATCCTATCTGGTATTTTGGTCACTAAAAAAACCTGCTTAACACACTGAGCCCTGATGATCTTCTCCCTCATCAGGCTGTCTTCTCCCCAAGGCAACGGTGATGCTAGTGGCCCCAGCCTGCCCCAGCCGGATATCCAGCAGCAGGATAGGATGACAGGGTGTCCCAGCATCTCTGGGGRTCCTGAATATGAATCTGCATGGAAACAAACTCCTTTCACCAGCCATGGGTACCCCCCCCCAGAAGCAGCATCCCCTCAAGCTTCTCCTGGCCACTGGCATGTTAGGAAATGTCCCTGTATCCCTCCCTCCAGTTGCTTCCTATATTGGGTTGAGGGCCAGAAATGGAGGGTTTTCTCAGGTACCAGCATCTTGGGTGGCCTGGGGAGCAGTAAGGAGAGGGATCATCCAATGCCAGCAAAGAGGCCATAGGAAAGGCCACCACAGGTGCTCTGGATGCTGACTGCTGTGCAGAAGAGCCAATGTCGTCCTCGTAGGCTGAGGAAGTTGCTGCCTCAGGAAGCAGAGGCCTGATTGACCCATGACAGAATGGTGGGCTCAGGCCCGGGACACTTGCATCAAGGGCTCATGAGGGTCAACGGTYCAAGAGGGTAGTGAACATGGGACTCTCACCCTCATTTCTATTTCATTTTATCAAATTAATTTTGATATGATCTCATTAAATGAAAGCAAAAGCGTAGGTAAAAATGTTCACTCTAAGGATCAGAGAAATGTGAAGTAGAACCACAGTGAGGTACCACTTCACGTCCATTAGGATGGCTGTTAGCCAAAAGTGGACAATAACGAGTATTAAGCCATGGAGAAATGAGACCTYTCCTAGATCACCAGTGGGAAAGTAAAATGGTGCAGCTGGAAGCAGTCTGGCAGGCCTTCAAATAGCTAAATGGAGAGTCACCACAGGACCCAGGGTCTTCGGGTTTGGGTATATCCTCAAGGGAAATAAATACATGTGTCCACGTTAAAAACTTACACAGAAATGTTCAGAGCAACATCATTCCTAACAGCCCCCAAACGGGCACAACCCAACATCCACCAGTTGTGAGTAGATTCAAAGAAGTTCTAACCATACGCTACGTCATTATTTGGCCACAAGGGAATGGAATATAATGTGCTACCACATGGATGTTTCTTAAAAATATTATGCTACTGTCGGAGTCAGCTTTTTCATTGGTGCAACTAAAAAACCTGACAAGAGCAATGTAGAGAAGGAATAGCTTATTTGGGACTCACAGTTCCAGAGGTCTCAGTCCATAGATGGCCAACTCCATTGTTCCGGGCCAGAGGTGAGCAAGGACATCATGGCAGAAAAGTGAGGGGAGGAAGGCAGCTCTGAACATGGGAACGAGAAGCAGAGAGAGAGGGAGAGATCTTCAATCACCAGGGACAAAATGGAGCCCCTAAAGGCATGTCCCCAGGGATCTACTTCCTCCCACCACACCCTACCAGCCCACATTTATCACCAGGTTAATCCATATTAGTGAATTAATCCACTGATTAGGTCACAACCCTCCTAATCTACTCATTTCACCTCTGAACATTCTTTCATTTTCTGACACATGAGCTTTTGGGGGACACCTCATATCCAAACCATAACAGCTACATTAAAGCAAGATACAGAGGCCACAAATGGTATGACTCAATTTATATGAAATATTCAGAGGAGGCAGACCCATAGGGACAGAAAGTAGATTAGTGGTTGCTTAGGGTGGAGGGGGATGGGGGATAGCTGTGTGCAGGGTTTCCTTTTGAGGGACATTCTCAAATCGACTGGGTGRTGGTTGGGTATGTCTGTGAATATATTAAAATCCATTGAAGTCTGTTCATTAAATGGATGAATTGTATAATGTGTGAACTATATCTCAATAAAGTTGTAGGAAGAAACACACCTGGAAAAATGTGGCTTCCACTCTATTCCCTCTTTTTACAAAAATGAAATATACATAGACATATACATAGACGCATAGATTCGTACACATATGACTTTTTWAAAATGTTCCCTACTTTCTTAAACAAGTAGTAGTGTCCTCTATGTACTATAGAACTTTCTCTTTTTAATTTTTCCTTTACCAAGCCACACCCCTAGCTCCCTCACATTCTTTTTTGATGGATGTATAGTACTTCAAAGTGGGTATATTAGGCATCACAAAATATGCTGCCTAGAATAACCTTGCCTGTCCTTTGCTTCATCTCCATCAGAGTGATTCCCTGGGAGAGGCTCCTGAGTTCCAGGGCCACAGGTTTGGTAGATGCTGCCGAATTCCCCTCCGCAGGTTAAGAGCAGAGTCAAGGTGCTGTCCCTCCAGCCCCATGACAAGTGCTTGATTCTCCACATACGCCTTGGTGGCCTCATCTGTAAACCAGGTTGCTGAGGGAATGGAGTGAGTCACACGGGGGCCGTATTTAGAAAGCATCTGGGATCTCAGTGGTACACAGGATTCCCGTGGGCTTTCTTCTTATCACCCTCACCCTCTAGACTAAGCCAGCCAACGTGTGGCTGAGAAAGCGCTGCTGGCCGCTCCCGAGGAGCTTCCTCTTTCATCTTAGGGAGTGGAAGCAGCTGCAGCTGTCGCTCCAAAGCACAGTGGGGCTGGGCCGGGAGGAAGTGGGGGGATAAATGGGCTAGCGAGAGGACCTAGAAGGGATGTGGGAGGGGGTGGCCGGACCAAGGCACCCATCCTCTGGCCAACACGTCCTCGGGGGTCAAAGGATGACTTGGGGAGCAACTTGAGAGTGATGGGAGGGGTGCTCCTCAGCTGGAATTTGGGGATGGCTCTCCAGTGAGAGGCAATTGAGTGGAGGCCTGCGTGAAGTGAGCAGCAGGCCTCCATATCTGGAGAGGAGAGTGCCTGCCACGGCCCCAGAGACCAGCAGGCTCTTACTGTAGACAGCAAACTGCAGGGGGGCTCTGCAGGATGGGGCTGGCAGGAAGGTAAGGACAGACGGACGAAGCAGAATTTGAGAGGAGAGGCAGGTGCCTAGATCAGGAAGGGTCCAGAGACCTTTGGGAATAAGAACGGAGACCTGCTGTGGGTTCTCATTAGAAAAGGAAGGATCATTCTYGTCTGCCTCCAGAGTTAAAGGCTATCTGAGAAGGCTTGACTGCGGACAGGTGGTGGCTGGTGTCTTAGTCCAGGGAAGAGACCCTGGAGTCATCTGGGTGGAATCTACTTTGATGGTGGAACCAACAGAATTTACACCTACCCATCTTCATGGGTAGCAGATCCTCTTTCGAGCCTGAGCATGAATGCATCTAGAGCTTCTAGCAACAGGTCCCCTCTGCTGAAAAGAGAAAGAAAAACAACAATTAAAAAAAAACTTCTAGAAGCATCATGGCAGAAGCCCCCACTGTTAAAATAATTTGAACAGACTCTTCACTGAATTTCCAAACTATCACCTGCTCAAGTCACTCTGCTACTTGGTCTCTATGTGCGTCTTGCCCAAGATATCTCCAGGGTTCCTCCTGACTATCCCCAGACAGCTCCAGAACAGGGAGGAAGGAGCCTGAGGAAAGAAAGAGCAGCAGTTGTCCCCTGCATGACCTATGGGGACAGGAAGAGGCAGTAACTCTGGGTACCTGCAGGCCTCTGCAGGGGCAGATGATCACATGATTAGAGGTCAGGGTCAGGACCAGAGGAACCTGGTGAGTCCAATTATAAGGACACTGGTCGGGGCAGCCTCCATGCTGGAACAGGTCATGATGGGCAGGGCAAGTTAGGGCCTAGAAGTGCAGAGGCCAGTCACATTGAGGTAAGGTGCTGAGACTCTGAGACCCAGGCCCCCTCAGAAATGAGAAGGGTGGAGTCACCCCAACTCTCTCTGAGGGTCTTTGTCAGCACCTTAAAATAACAACATGCAAAGATGGATGCGAGTGATGATCACGATTACCTGAAACCACCACACAGCCTCATGTTTCTTTCATGGAAGTAGTATGCATGTATGAGCAGGGTGGGGGCTCAGGGTAGGTGCAGCATATTCTCGGGGGGGGGGGGGGKAGAAGGACTTTTGGAAGGTCAGAAACACAAACTCTAGCAGCCACAGTGACAGCCAACCAGTTCTGAGGCCTACAACCCACTGCATCCTCACCATGAAGGCCAAGGCAGAGGCCCCACCCCCGCCCTGGACACTGGAATGTGAGCATGGGGAAGGGGCAGGGTGAACACTCCAGGGGATAGGGATGTCCGGTGGTGGTCACAGGTCAGGGTCCCATAGGGTAGGGCCAGGCTGCCTTCAGGGCCCGGGCTGCTGTGCAGGGGTGGAGGGAGTGGGGGGTTGGGAGTGTTGTGTTAGAGACTGAACAGGACACGAGGACATGAGGCATTGTCATCTCCCCCAGAGGTCAGTGGCCTGTGAAGGAAAGCAGAATCTGTGGGCCTTAGACAGTGTGGCCAGTCTGCATTGCAGGGAATGACACATGTCAGGACCCCTCCTCAGCAGAGGTCTCCCTACAGTCACCAGTGCTATCTCAACCTATCAGGCCAGACAGGAATCACAAGCCTTCCTGGAAAACCCCTCAAGGCAAGCAGTTCATGAATTCCAGGAATTTACTAGAGCCTTGGGAATCTGTGGAAGGGCCCCTGGCCTGTTCCCTCCCTCTTGCTCTCCCTGTTCCTGGAGCCCCTGACGGTCTGAACAGGGCAGTACCCCACAGTATCACCCCCAGCCCCCCAAGGACTGACACACATAGCTTCTGTGCCCCCCCGCAGCCCCTAAAGCCCAACCCACAGCTTCCTCAAGCTCCCCATAGTCCACCCCCAGCTTCCCACAGTCCCACCCAGGGTCCCCCCAAACCCCACCCTAAGCCAATCCACAGTCCTCCTTGGCCCCACACCGTCATTTAAAAAAGCCCCACTGAACACCCCCCAACTTCCCACACAGCCCTAACTCAGAGTTCCTCTCAGTCCCTCAACACCCTCCCCATAGCTTTCCAGAGCGCCCTTTCCGCTCTCCCCAGATCCTCCATCTCGTCCACAGCCCATTGATAATGAAGAGTCCTTTCCTGTATCAGCAACCCAGTAAGGATCAGGACAAGGTGCCACACTGAGGGGCCATGGGCACTTCCTCAGCACAGATGCCAAGAAAGGCAGGGTCAGGGCATGATGTGTGGTCTGGGCTTCAGAGGATGAGTGAAATTTGAGTCCAGAGGCCTGTCTCAGCTTGGGAGCAGACCAGGAGAAAAACAGGAAAGTAAACACAGGGCTAATCCTGAAAGAAAGAGTAAGAGATAGGAAGATCAATTCAGCAAGTCCGCCTTCAAGGAACATGGAGCCCATAAAGGAAAGAACAGTGAAGGAGGAAAAGGAGCAGTGATGTATTAGACACATTTCAGACCTACAGAGACAGAGTCTTCAGATGGAGGGGTCCATGGAATACAGGCTGAAGGAACAATGTCTGCTCTTAGAAAGGGCCATAAGAAAGTGCAGAGTAACAGTGGACAAGATCAGTTGACTGACTTCCAAAACAGTAAAAAGTAAGATGTTTGCTGCAAAAGGCTGAGAACCCTAGAGCGTCAGACTTCCCATGTGTTACAACGCTCCCAAAAGAACAGGGAAGTAATTTTGAACTTAGTTTTCTATATTGGGCTAAATGATCAATCAATAATGGACAGAAGAACAATATTTTCAGAACTTTGAGGTTTCAAAACAGCCAGATGTAGTGGTACGTGCCTGTAAACTCAGCTGTTCTGCAGATGGAGGCAGGAGGATCACAAGTTCAAGGCTTACCTCATCGACTTAGAAAGACCCTGTCTCTCTGGGCTGGGGTTGTGGCTCAGTGGTAGAGCACTCGCCTCGCACGTGCGAGACCTTGGGTTCCGTCCTCAGCACCACATACAAAAAAATAAACAAGTGAAATAAAGGTGTTGTGTCCAACTACAACTAAAAAATAAATTAAAAAAAGAAAAAAGAAAAAAAAGAAAGATCCTGTCTCAAAAATGAAAAAGACTGGGTTGTAGCTCAGTGGTAGAGTATTCCCAAATGGAAGGGGAAAAAAAAAGTATTTAAAAAAAGAATAAGTAAAAAACAAACCCACCTGCCACAATCCTTTCTGGGACCATTATTTGAGAATATATTCCAGGAAAGTGAGAAAGAAAGATATGAGATTTATACTATGCACTGACCCACCAGAGGGTGGTGAGTCTCAAGTACTATGTGTAGACTGGGGTGTGTGTGTGGGGGGGAAGATTAGAGAAGGAGAGGAGGCAAGGGGACAAAAAGATAGTAAAACTGAGGTGAGGCACAAGCATGTTATTATTCTGCAAATAAGAGGTTAGAAAGTTGGGCACGGTGGCACACATCTATAATCCCAGTGGCTCAGGAGGCTGAGGCAGGAGGATTACAAATTCAAAGCCAGCCTCAGCAACTTAGCAAGGCCCTAAGCAATTTAGAGAGACCCTGTCTCAAAATAAAAATAAATAAATAAATAAATAAAAAGGGCTGGAGATGTGACTCAGTGCTTAAGTGCCCCTGGGTTCGATTCCTGCTTCCAAAAATAAACAGATAAATAAATAGGTAGGGATTAAAAACTATAGAAAAAAATAAGTGTATAATAAAATTAAGTTTCAATTACATAGCAAACTAAAATGTGATATGACTTGGAGGTACAGATAAAGTGAAAAATGGATTCACCCAATGAATTTGCTCCTTTATTTGTTTATATTTTTTTTCTTGTAAGAGGGTCTTACTGTATTCCTCATGCTGGCTTGGAACTTTGGAGCTCAAGAGATTCTTCCTGCCTCAGCCTGCCGAGTAGCTGGGACTATTGGTGCACAACACCAAGCCCAGCTCCCAATCTGCTGTTGATCCTGGGAATGTATTCTTTGAGTGAGCTGAGATGGAGGTGTCCACATTAGGCCAACAAAGAAGTAAACGTCCCCCTGGGCTCAGTTTCCCTGTGCAGTGAGTACTGTAACATTGGTGGGCTCAGCCCAGGGTGGAACCATTGGAATCCACCTTTTTTATAGTCAAACTTTGCAAAAGCACCTGGGTCTGTGGGGAATGAGTAGAAAGGGAGTCAAAACACAGAGCAAAGGTGGAATAGCAGACAGGAGAGAGAAAGTGTGTTAGTAGTTTCAGGGAGAACCTTCCAGAAGAGATGAAACATTCCCCATGAACGGGAGGTGGAGAATGTGGGAGGGACAGGGAGGAGAAGGAGCTGATTACTGTATTCAGCCTCCATATCAGAGAGTCCATATATCTTATCAAAGGCTCATAAAGTACAAAATAGGAGGACCAGCATTTTATTGAGGCTTAAGAGAATGGCCAATGAAAAACAGAAAGGTAAGAAAGGGTTTAACCCTGCCTGGGATGGTGGAACTGGTGTGGAAGGTAGGGTAGTCAGAGGTGGGAGAGGATGGAGAGAGATTTTACCATTAGGTTTTGTTTTGTGTATTATTTGCTTTTGTAAAGCCTATTTATTGGGGGTTACTTTGACTAGAATTTTCAAATTTAAAAACTAGAACAAATCGAATTACTTTCCAAGTCTTTGAACACCGTGACTCCACACTCCCTAAAATACACGGATTTTGCTGTTTGACTTCTTTCAGGCGTTTCCACTGGCTTTTCTCAGTTAGTTTTACAGCCATCACCAAATGTAGACAGACCGTGCCTTCTTTACCCTATTGTTCACAGGGAGGAAAAACAAACAGTTTCCGGTGCTTGTCCCAGGGCACAGTGCCATCTGGGGAGAAGAACAGCAACCGCCCTTGGTGTTCAGGAGCCTGCAGGTGCCAGGGCGGGTTATCTGCCATCCCTCGCTACACTGGGGCAGATTCATGAAAACCGCTCTTGTTTCAGAGGCGTCTCATCAAGGAGCTCAGCCCCTTCTCCTCCCTGGCTRGAGCCAGAGCAGTCGGTCTTCCCCCCCACCCCATGTTATTTGGTGGCTTGTGTCCAAATTAGTGCTGTGATCCAGAGGCCAGACTCCCTGGAAGCACTCCTATATTGGAGCAAACCTCTGCCCAGTGAAGGGTGCAGCCTGGTCACAGCCATCTGTACACACATCTGCACATTGCAGTTGGATAAGCCCAGGTGACACACAGGAGCCCCATCCTTAGACCAAGTAACTCAAATGTTTCCTACTTAGAAAAATACAGAGAAAGGAAACAATAAACCCATTGCTCCTGACAACTGCTCTAATAAATCCTAAATCAATGTAATGTTGCAGGCACAGTTGAAACCCCCTTGGGTCCCTTCTGAACCACCCTGTCCTGACCTTGGGGTTAACCTTCCCCATGTGATTTCATGGTGGGTAGGATATTTGTCAGCTCAGGCTACTGAAACCAA